AAATAAACATTAAAAATTTTTTTTAATTAAAAAAAATAAGATAACACCAGAGCCTCCACACCCAACCCCACTGGCACCCCCAGCATTAAAAAATTAAGAATGTACTGTGGAAAGCATTGAGGTATCTAAATGTAAAGTATTTTCTCTTTCGCCCACTTCTACTACAAAAGCTTCAAAGATGCGAATGGGTCTACTCTTTGGCTTGCTTCTTTCTGTTGTCCAATCATCACCTCAAATGTCCAAGAGAGAATCTGGAAGAGGAAAACGCAAACCTCTCTGGTTGCTTTTAACAACAGAGAAGCTCCGGGCAGGCACCACAGGAGGCCCATCTTTACAATATACGAATGTGGGGAATCTTTTCTCCTGAAGAGAAATAACGAGTGAGAAGATCCAGCTAACTCACCTTAGAAAGCAGGAACGGACTCCATGAAATACATGAACAATCTCTCTCTCCCCAGAACCTTTGCCAGACTTGGCACAGGCAGGCCCTTTTGAAATACATAATTGAATATTCCTAACACTCAATTCTTCCACCTACTTTGATCAATAGTTCATTACCTAAGTTAGAACTGCCAGAAGAGGCAAACTCTTGAGCTCATTTGTCCCATATTTGCATGAATATTATGCACTCAATGTCACGCTCCTTTGAACTTCAAAAGAGCTTCCGGGCCTCTTTGACGACAACTTTAACAACAGAGCATAATGGAGTTACAGAAAGACTTTCTTCCCCAGCTAAAGACCTCAAACCTTGCTGATTCTGGAAAGTAACAAACTTTTATAGAAGCCACAAATGGCTCCTTCGTCCATTGCAATGCACCATCAGTATTTCCCGGGTTCCTGAGCCTTTCTCGTCTCCTGTGACAGGAACATAACCACGGCTAATCAGCTATTAGGAAGTGGCAGCAACCACCCCTAACTTTCCTTGTGAAAACAGCTTTCTGCAAATGCGGCATTTTCTGCAGACCTCTTCAGATTCTACACCGAGTGAGCATCTTTGACCATAACAGCACGCCCCCTCCTAACACTCTGATGCCCAGGATAGGAGGGAAACAGGCTACACAGCATCTGCATTGACCTAGAAGCTTACACTGAAATCAACCCACAAAAGATCAAAAACCTTGGCTTCCTTGTGTAAAATGGCATCAGGCAGCAAGAAGAGACGTGAGGATTTATTACCCTTACACTTACACATTTCCTGGAGTTTCCCCAGATTTTTATCCTTGTTTTAAAAGTGATATTAGGGGCGCCTGGGTGGCTAAGTCAGTTAAGTGACCGACTTTGGCTCAGGTCATGATCTCATATTTTGTGGGTTCGAGCCCTGAGTAGGGGTCTGTGCTGACGGCTCAGAGCCTGGAGCCTGCTTCGGATTCTGTGTCTCCGTCTCTCTCTGCCCCTCCCCTGCTCGTGCTCTCTCTCTCTCTCTCTCAAAAATAAATAAACACTAAAAAAAAAAAAATTTAAAGTAATACTTGCCAATTGTGGAAACTCCAGAAGCACAAAGATGAGCAAAAGTAAGTCATGAACCTACCACTCACAGATAAAAAAAAAAAAATTAGCTCCCCACTATACATGACTATAAATTTCGGATGAAGTAGAGAACTACGGGTAAAACCCCAAATTATGCAAGCAGTAGAAAAAAATATAACAGAATGAGTGGTAAGGGTCTCCCAAGAAACAAGAAGAAATTCAGAAGCCGTAAAGGAAATAAATAGCAGATCCGACCACACAAAAATTTAAACCTTCCATATGGGAAGGTACAACTTAAAGTTAAAAGCAAATGGCAAAAGGGGAAAATAATATTTTGAACACAAAAGGTCAGGAGCAAGATTTGCAATAACAAAACCTTAATATGTATGCTTTGATGGATCACGAAGACAAGCAACCTAACTGCAAAATAGGCAATGCACTCTCAAAGATAAAATAAACATTTAAAAATATTCTAAAAACTCATTGCAAAGATACTCCAGAATAAGAAAATAGTGCAGCAAACCTGAAGTATGGTTTCTCCTATTAAATTGGCTCCAAGATACAAAGAGTAATTATACTTGTGGGGAAAGAATTCGAAAAGGACTCTCATACACAGACAGTGGGAGTATACATTGATAACAACTTCTTCGAAGGACAATGTGACTGTGCTTACCAAGATTAACACTGAACACCCACTTTGACCAAAGGACTCCCCACAAATACTTGCCTACGTGCCTGGAGGTGTTCATTAACACCTTAGTTGTAATAGCAAAAACTGGAGACACTCTAAGTGTCTACAGCTAGCGACCATGGGTAAGTAATCCATGGCACACTTACACAACTGGACACTATGCAGGCATTAGAAAGAATACGGTACTGTTGTATTGCAACGTGCTGACATGGAAGGATGTCCTAGACCCACTTCTGAAGAAAGGTTACAGAAAAATACATACAATCGCCAAGAAAAAAAAAAAACGAAAACAAAACCTGTACTTACGTAGGTTTTTACGATACAGAGAAAAAGTGTTTGGAAGAATACATAGTAAACTATTAGTCATGGTTGCCTCTGGTTGGTAGCTGAGGGACACGCGTTTTTTTGTAAAGCTCAGGTGCTTTCAGATTGTTTTGTACTATGAGTATTATTAGTTTGGGCATACTTAGGAAATTTCAGAATAAATTAATTAAGCACTGCGTAGGGTCATCAAATTTGTAATAAGCAACGTTTTCAATGGTAGCACGACAGCGCATTACACAGATGGTTTATATGACCATTCCCCAACGGACCGACATTTCCACTGCTTCTGCCTTCTCATTGTTGGAGCTTCCGTATAAATCTCTGCGCATGCCTCGTGTGTGTGTGTGTGTGTGTGTGTGCGCATCTGCATGTATCGAGGCAACATACAGAGGGCATATGCTTTAAGATTTCCTTTAGTGGAGGGGCGCCTGGGTGGCGCAGTCGGTTAAGCGTCCG